TATCCTCTGCACACTAAAGTAAGGTGCGGAGCCAACAGCACATAATTGTCTATTTGAAAGAATATAGTATTCCTTCCATTTCAACACATTCCTCGCCTGGTAACAATAGATTCACAAGAATATTCTGGATTTTGATCACACAAAAACTTGGACACAGCTCGTTGAAGCTCAGCGAGCTCGCAATGATTCTTCTTCAACCTGGGGAGACACTGCTTACTTGAAACTTTGTATGTATTTGAAACTTATTTACCTCGTGAACCATTCGACGATCTCTCAATGTGCTCTCGAGACTCGAAAAAACACATTTCAAAATTGTTTCCTTGGCTTTAACGCGTCCTTCAAGAACATCGATTTCTGCATTCAACTTCTCAAGTACACTTTTCATCTGAACACAAAAAAGCGTATCAACAGCAACTCAATAACACTACAATTTACCATGACTTTTTAAAAATTTAGACAGAGCCTATCACATCTTAGAGTCTTAATCGCCCCTTAAAGGCAGGCGATGAAAAAACAACCCATTTCAAATTGAGTTAAGGATGGTGAGTGGTACAAGAAGGAAAAACCATGAGAAACGGCCCAGAACCCGAGAAATGGGACCCCTTCCTTGCCCGTTGATTTGAGCATTGATGCGACTCTCATCGCTGTGCCCTCTTCAACACTACGCTCTCTCAGCTATCTAATCACTCGCCACGTATTGAACTACGGCGAGTGATCAGATGATCGGTGGGCGGAGATCGCCGGACCCGCCAGCTAATCACTCGCCTTGTCGCGAAACACGAAATCCGCTCCAACAGAACCCTGGGCGCGCCGGTATCTGCGAGCATCTGCCGAAATGACCCAGCCTGACGGCCCGTGCGTTGCCGCACGATCTCTCCGTGATCGTGCGGCAACGCACGGGCCGGTAGCATCGGCACCATCACGGCCTGGCCTGGTGTTCCCTTCGTCATCGGGTTCTTCCCCGTCTTCGTCGTCTTCGGCAGACTCGCAGGGCTCTAGCCCTTAGGCTGATGTCAGAGTCCGCGATCCTTTGCGCGATTTTCGCGATTTGCGCGAAACCTGCGATGGATCACAGGAGTTGGAAGTGCCCGATGAATACTGCGAGGTGTTGTTTAATCCTGCTGCGAATTCTGCTTGGCAGTAAAGATTGGAAGACGAATGTTTGTGGTTCTACTTGTTTCATGTTCAATGTCTATTAGTTCATTGAAATGCTCTTGAATCGTTCCTATTTTTTTTTCAGGAATCAAACCAAACCAATCACAAAAATTGCAAGTGCCCCATTTGAACAATTGAAACACTGGATATGAAACAAGTGGAATCATGAGCAGTCTCCATTAAACCATAACCATCAAGCAGAAGTGACGGCGGGATTGGAGAACACCTTGCAGTATGGATGGGGCACTTGTAATTTCCGTGACCCGTCGCGAAAATCGCGAAAAGGATCGCGGACTCTGACATCAGCCTCAGAAGCTTAACTATTCGAGTTTGTAATATTCCATTGTGGTGAGCGGCGGGTCGATGAGGACCCGACGTGAGTTAATATTACGTACTTTATGTTCATATGCAATTTGTATATTTGGGATTAATTATTTAATATAAGTGGGCGGAAGTGGTGTAGTGACAAGTGGCGCGCTCACCACGCGAGCGGTCCGGGATCAAATCCTGGGTCGTGAGTCGCCCGGGCCAACCAAGCCTTCCATCCCTCCGGGGTCGGTTAATTGGTAAGACTTGGGTGCTAACTTAGTTGGGGGGGGGCCACGCGGCGGCGCGGCAGTCTGCTCGCCTGGCATGTTCGGAAATCCGTGGGCCAGGGGGAGTGTAGCCAGTCTAGGGGGTGGGGGGTGGGGGCAGTCACTTGACATGCGTGAAAAGCTGGAATGTTCGAGTTTACACTGTCTCGCTCGAGAGAGCCCAGGTGAGCAGACTGCCGCGCCGCCGCGTGCCCCCCCCCAACTAAGTTAGCACCAGAATGTTGTCTTAGAGGATAAAACACTGACTTGAACATCGGCTGGCCCCCGCAAGTCATTGTATAGGCCACATCGCATTCAAATGCCACTGCGAATGTACAAATGGAAGTAGAATGCGTGCCGCATCCCAAAAAGGGATTGATCAACGGCAAATGCTTTATCCTTTATCCTTTAAAATGGAGTATAATTTAGGTCATAAAGTTTACTAGTTGCTTTGTGTTGCGCGTGTATGCTATACGGTGCTTCCCACATACCCTCGCCTTCAAATGACCAGAAATTGTGCAATTGCAGAAATTGACGTGGCATTAACGTGGCATCGATTCAAGAACATCTTTGAGCACACGTGATGTCACCTTTTCATCGAGAATTTAGCCACGTGTGCCAATGCCACGTCAATTTCTGCAATTGCACAATTTCTGGTCATTTGAAGGCGAGGGTAATGTGTTTTGAGCTAGTGTTGCTCAGGTGGTTAAGTAGGACGTAGGACAAGATGTAGGATAGATGGTCGGTAGTTCACTTGGGGGTTCCCCCCCCCCTTGGGCTCCGTAAGTCTCCGGGATCCACCGATCCGCTACGCCACGTATAGACCTGCGGCGAGTGATTAGATAGTCGGTGGGCGTACCCGCCAACCGCGCCAAGAGTGAGCCATGCTAGATCGCCGAGGTCAAATCTTTCGCTGCCAATTGCGCGTCAGTCCGCACCCTCAGGAGGTCCGCCTGTCTCCCACTAGGCAATTTTTCCCTTCTTCGACCTTCGTTCTTATCGTGAAATCCTAATTTAGAACACTCGAGTAATAATAGTAAACCATTTTCACTGTAAAAATCCTAAAGAAACCAATTACACGCAGTTGATCAATCTTTTAACGAAAATTTGCCACGACAAGGATGGCCTGTGAGCCCTAATAAGATTATGTACACCTACGTCCTTTGATCAGTACAAAGAGAAAGAGCACAGCAACCTTTTCAACATACATTGGAACCACAGTGAAAACATATTTATCTCAATAGAGTTTGAACAAACGAGCAGATGAAAGATAACGAGATGTACTGCAAACAGCTATATTTAAACCGGTGTCGAATCTTGTCCTTCAAGAAGAACAGTGGTACTGTAGGCCACATCCCAGTAATGAGCTACGTTGTGCTTTTCCAATAAATCTCTGGCCTTTAAAAAATAATTTGAACATTTCCATTGAAAAAAACTACAGAAAGGTCAGCTTATGACATTGACAAATAACGCACCTGCTTCTCTATAGTAGCAGTGACCACCGTGAAGTCGCGGAAGTTTCTACGTTTTACTTGACCTTCCCAGATCTGAAAACTAGCAAACCTTACCAAACCAACTGCAGTGATATTCCTTCATATACGGCCAAAATGAAATTCCGTAAAAATTCAGCCAAACATAAAAAAGAACTCAGTACAAGGAAATGTAACATAAAGATCATGGAGCTTCTCTACAGAGGGTCCTCGACCTCTAGACTGGTGGACATTACCACAGTTTGAAAGGTGGCGGATAGGAGTGAACTATAGACCAGAATTCATCCTGGACTCATTTTGAGAAGAATCGCTGGATGGACTGCTAGTTTCTGCAGTGCTGTGGTGACTTATAAAAACTATCTGCACTAAGGCGTATATATGCATGCGTGAGCGGTGTGTTGTGGATGTGTGCGAATAGTACACTGCACAACGCCCTCATTTAAGTGACAAGAAAGTCACGGAAGGCGGTTCGGATTGCCTTCAAGAAAGAAAGACTCGCCGAGTTAGCATGGAACTACTTTGAGTCAGGAAGACGAATGGAAGAAATGGAAGGAAGCATTCTATAAGTAAGGAGTCAGAGAAACTCCACGGATGGAAGATCACACCCCTTTTAGGTCTGCGTCAGCGACTTCAATGTTAATAGTGGGCCCAGAAAGACGGCCGAAAGGCTTCACATTTCACATTCAGATCCACGATCACATTCAGATTCACGGAATGGAAGGAATAAAATAGACTGTTGAGTTCGTCACATTGATAAATACTGGAAGCCATTCAGCGGACAGTTGCACAAATTCTACACAGGAATGGACTACGGTCTCTCCTTCGTCTTGTAGAATACATCGACGAAGAAGACCGGTTTGTAGCTTCGTTAGCTATGGGAGCAGGGTCAACCGTCCGTTCGAACTGTTCGAACGAAGGGGTCGCATTTTGGTCGGAAGGGGGTCGCAATTTCGAGGACTGCCAGCCACAGGCGCGTGCGTGGCGTATCCGAGGGCAAGAATTGTTTGTGCAGACCGCATTAGATTCGATTAATTATGCACAGAGAGACAGTTTTAGGCAAATTACGGTGTTTTCCTTGAGGAATAAAGAACAGTTGAATGCATCCCTATGAAAGGTTTGACTTCTCGGGGCTGAAATTAAAGTTCTTCGGGACCTAATTTTCTGAGGACGATTCTTCCAGACAACGGTAAAACACATAAGAAAGCAGAAATCTCGTAGTCTTCAAAAATGTCTTCGCCCCTCCCAACAAGTTCTTTGAAGGAAGTTATTATTGCTGAAAGCTCAAAAACTCGCATGTGCTGCTCAAAAACCTATGGGAACAAAATGTTCGAACGTGTGATTTTCTCGGAAAATGGATTTTGAAAACGGTTTGGGGCTTGTTAGAGAAGAGCAAATCCTGTACTTTCACCCCATGAAAAAAGTGCATCACAGAAATGAAAATGAAGTGAGTTATGGTCGCTGAAAGCCCAAAAACTCGCTTTTGCACGAAAAATGTTCGAACGGGACAATTTTTTGAAAAAGGGGACAATCACTAAACTTTTTATACTTTTGTTAGAGAAATATTTGAAGTTTCTGAAACTTTTTACAGATTTCCAAAATGTCGCATACGAAAGATTTTATGGGCCTTCAAAGTTGAAGGTGCGCCTTCTTAGAATTTTGGGTTTTCCACTTCTAACAGAAGTACTTTCCGGAGAGTTAGGCAATCCTTGTAGTTTTCTGGAAGCGCACCTCAGGCACAATCAAAATCTACCTCAACAAGTCAAAAAATACGTCCCAAGAAAGTTATTCCCCTCTAAAATTTTTTCTTCGCCGCGTCCCGTTCTTCCAGCGCCCGGGTGATACCTGCCGCGCTCCAAGGCCGACGCGACGACGCGCAGACGCTTTCTGGCGCAACGGATTCATGTCTAGCACTCTTATTAACAAAAACAGGGGGTCGCAACTGGACCCCCTCGAGAGCTAGGGGGTCGCAAAAATCCCGAAAATGTTCGAACGTGACGGTTGACCCTGTTGGGACAGCATGTCTTATCTTCGAGGCAGGGCAACCTTGTGCTGCGCAGATTTCAAAATTTTTACGATCCTCCCATCAGAAGCATCGGTACGACCCGCCCTTCCCCTGTATTGCTTGTTTATGTCTTTTACATATTTTCATGCCCATCATCGATGTATGGCCGCCAGGGACATGGATAGAGGTGATAGGCAATAGAAAGTTTTGCTTTTGATTGATCATGTCGCCTTGATTCCCGTGGCGGCTTTGACGCGCAACGAAGGAATTAAGGTGACATGGAATTTTACCCATTAAAAATAACAACTTCGAACATTTTGCACAGAACCGGAACGCTTGTAGCCTCAGAGAGCTCTACTTTCAAAAAACACCAAGCTTTTTTGAAACTTCCGAATCCGCTTTTTTTATTAACTGAAAAACTAAAAATACTAGAGGAGCAATTACCGATTTCTTCATTTGGAAGTTTGTACCTTTTTTTTTCAAATGCGTTCTTATGAAATGCGATATTAAAAATTTTAGAATTTCATCCATTTAAAAAAGTATTCGAACGTTTGCGAATGTTCATTTCTTCAAAAAATTGTCCGTTGTTCCGTTTGTTGTGCACATGTGAGTTTACATCATTCAAACATTCGTACATTCCTTCAATTCAACTTTTTGCAGATCTCTAATTAAGAATAAGACTAAATAGAAACCAGAAAAAATAGGACTCCTGAAAATAATGGAAACTGCGAAGGCTCACTATTTGCGAGTTATCTTTCAAAGCCCTCCCGAAAGCCCATAAGTCCCTTTAAAAGCGGTATGATGAGAAGCGGCAAAAAGCATCGAATTCCACAAGATTAGCGCTACAAAATAGCAATTGGCGTTGCACGCTGTTGCGCACCTAACACAGTTCTGCGGCGATACGGAATGGTGCGGCGTAAATTCTCAAATACTGCCCGATAATAAATATTTCTACGAATATTTGACTTTTAAGCTAAATTTCATTGTCCCATGCCCATCCACCGATGGCTTTTGACCTTCCCTTTTTCCTCAACCATTATCCGCTTTTCCCGGTCTCGGACTGCCTCCGGACCGATTTATGAATCTCGTGGTAAACTCCGCCTATTTCTTTGCATGTCCCACCTATCTTTTTCTTCCTCGCCAACCTCTTCCCACTTTTTACCCGATCTCTGAACTATCTCTGAGCCGATTTATAATTTTGGCGGCGAACTGCTTTTTGGTGTATGCTCCGCACTCAAAAATTTACTTCTTTCCCTTCGCCCACCTTTTTCCCCGATCTCTGGAGCTTTGCGAAACCGAGTTATATTAGGTTGAGCAAAAATTATCCGCCGTTTTCATTTCACTCATAAGTTTATTAACAAAACCAAACAAAAACAACAATAAATGCGTAATCAACGAACAGTCCTCTCTGCAACCGTGCCTTCATCCCAGGCTTCATTGATTCTACGAGCAGATGCAGAAGCATTCGGTTTCGAGCTCAACTTGCACTCATGTAGCATGAGCAATCTTTTTTGCTCGTGTGTAAGCTCCAGAGTGAAGCAAATACACAAGTGTTGTATGTACAAGAGATTGCGCGCTTTCAGACTACATCATAATCTTCGAAAATAAAATCAGCAAAAAGTCAAAGAGCCATGAGCCTGAAAAAACGGCGGATAATTTTTGCTCAACCTAATAAATCTGGCAACGAACTCCGCCCACTTTGCTGCATGTCCAGCCCACCAATAGCAGTTGGCCTCCATTCCTCACTAACCTCTACCCCCTTTAAGCTAGGTCTCCGGAACATCTTGGAACCGAATTATAAAGTTTCGTGGTAAGCTCCTCCCATTGGCGCTCGGTCCACCCACCAATGACAAATGGCATTCTTTCCTTAGCCGGACTTTAGGCCCTTTTTTCCCGTTTTCGAGACATCTTGTAACCGAATAGCAACGTCTTGTGAGAAACTCTTTTTGAGGCCTGCTTAACCCTACCACAGATGCCTTTCCGTAAGAAGCCATATAGCCTTTTCTCCCGGTCTTCATGACCTCTTAAAACCGAGTCATGAAGTTTCGGATAACGGATAACTCCGCCCACTTCGGGTGCATGTACCGACCATCAACAGCAATGGACCTTTTTCCCACCGCCAACCTCTTTCCACTTTTTTTTCCAGTCTCCTGGAATTTTTAGAGCCGAAGAGTTTTGGAAGCAAACTCTGCCCACTTTTAGCATGCCGCGCCCACCATTAACAGTAAACCTCCCCTCCCCATCTGACCTCTATGCTGGGAACACCTCGGACACTTCTTCACTCTAGCTTATCAATGCACACCTTCACCCATATTTTCCCAGTCTATGGATTGTTTGGGAATGTAAGTTGAAAACTTAGTCATCAGTACCACCTATTTCGATGCACGCCACGCCCACTCTGAGGAGGGCTTCGCTTAGCTGCTGTATGCTTTAGTGACGATGCTGGGAATTAACCTACACAAGCAAGTGCAGAGGGGAATAAGGAGTTCCGAACTACGCCAACGATCGAAGATCAGGGACGCTGCCGTTTTCGCCAAGGAATCGAAGATAAGGTGGGCCGGACACGTCATGCGATTTTGCGATGACCGTTGGACCAGAGCGGTTACCGACTGGATCCCTCGGGACGGTGAAAGAACACCTAGACGGCTACCGGCTCGATGGTAAGACTTTATCACGAAATTTCTTAATGGATTTGGACTGGCTGGCTGACGCCCGCTTGGAAACTCGAACCATGAACAGGACAATAATGTTTCCACCTCCACAAGGACAACAATAAGACAGTGCTATAAATATCAGACTCACACTAGAATAAAGCTGTTAACCCATGAAAGCTATCTCAGAAAAATCGCTCACCAATTGGCAATGATTCCGTTCTCCTGGTGCGTCTTTGTCGGCATCCTTTTTCTGTCCAATTACTTCGTCTTCCCATTTGATTCTATTTAGCATTAGATTTTTGTAAAACTTTTGTTGCTTAGGACCTAAAATAACATGTGTTTCATCAAATGTACAAATCAATCGAATCTCATGAAAGAAAACCCCAAAATGGATTACCTCCTTCAACTACAACAAGGTTTATATTTTTATGCAACAGAATTACACCCGTCATTTGAAGTTGCTTCGCATTCATCTCAACTTTGAACTTTTTCGAAGGATGCAGGAGCGATTTGACTCTGCAATTCCGAAACTGATGACAGAATGTTTCAGAAGTCAAAATGGTCAAGGAGTGAAATAGTTCCACGAAACCAACCTATAAACAGCAACATGAACAGCCAAAGACGTGTCTTCAGAAAGCTTCTTCGTTTTCTTAACTGCCTTTTGCTCGTCCGTCAACTTCCTTTCCGCATTCGCCTTTATGAAACCCAAGATTAGTTAAAAAGTAAGCCTTTGAAGCATTCAATTTTTCTCATCACAAGGAGATGACCTCTACAGAACAGATGAACACAAAAATTCACCTGTTGGTGCTTCTTGAGCCTATCAGCCATTTGTTTTCTTACGTGGGCCTCCATCTTCGTTGGATCTTGAATTGCATCGCTTCCAAGAACCCTCATGAGATTTGATATTTTCACCTGAACAAAAACAACGCCATTTGGCGACTAACATCAAAGCGGATAACTCAAAGAATAATCAACTCACTTTGGGAGCAGGCGCCTTAGCAAGACCTATCCGAATCATCTCAGTGCGTTCCTTCTGCATCTCTTTACGATTTTGACGTCTAATCTTTTTCCGCTCTCGAGATGTCAAATAGACCTATAGAACAACTTATTTGGTGCCAAGCACTGCAATGTAATTCTTGAAAAGCTTCCTCACCTTGAGATACTGCGGTGTTAGAGGATCCGTCGGTGCTTTCAATTTTATGGGATGTTCAACGAGTTCACTGATAGTGTCCTTGAACCGGGATTCCACATCAGTGCCAGGAATGTCATTGTAGCTTGAAAAGCATGAACATAAGAGTGCTAACCTTTTCCAAAAATACAACCACCTACCTATCACACTCCAGAACAATGGAATCCCACCATTCAATCTCCGGTACCTCATCAGAACTTTTTCCCGCTGGTGTGATCATCGCCAACTTAACAGCTGATGAAATCCCGGTACTCTTGGCGGCTTGGGAAATCTCAGCCTAAATCACCACCACTTTTAGAGCGCTAAAAGAAAAAATCAGCAGGGCTTATTTATTACCTGTAACCTTTCCAACTTGGCCACAGCTCTTTGCTTATTCGCCAACTGTTCGAACTCTCCCTTCTCGTGGAAATTAAACATTTTTCGCTTCCTCTCGGCTGGTCGCGCCACAATCCGCGGGTCCACAAACTCCAGCAACTCTTCTTCCTGTAAGCGTTGCATTGGAAGCAGTAAAAAAGATCTGAAAGCGGCTAAACGTACCGCTTCCTCATCGCGCTCTTTAAGGATACCGGGCGCAATGTCAGGAAGAGGCGCCATCACAGGTGCATTAGGCCGAACTAGAGAGTTGATCGTTGAGGTGGCTTTTGCAAGCTTCGCCTGTAATGAAGGAACCATGAAGGAATCATCTTCAGAATGATGGTCAGAAGGAAAGTTACCTTCAACTCGTCAACTCGACTTTTCTTATTCATAGATGCTTGAATGAACATTTGCGCTTCCTGTGGCCGCAGAGCAACATTCTTTGCAGGTACAGTTGGGATCGGATTAGCGCCAATAAGAGCAGGGGTGGGTGCCGCTAGACCAAGTTGACGCTTACGCTCTTCGATCTCTTGTTGCGCTTTATACATAAGTTCCTTGGCTCTGAAATCCTTGATTTTCACAAATTTTGAGTAATCTTTAAGTAAACAATATTGCTAACCTCAACGTTTCCTCTGTGACAACCACATTTCGCTTCGCTTCCTCTTCCTCCAACTTCTTTTGATATAATTCTTTTGCCAAATTCTTCAATTTCTCCTTCTCTTTCTCCTAAGCGGAACAATTAGAAAATAACATATTCAACGAGATTTACGAAAAAGAACGCAGTCACAGCATAAGGTTTTATCTTTACCTTTTCCAACTCTTTTTTATTCACTTCCTCTCGCCGTCGACGATCCCTATCACTCTCTTTCTCCCTGTCCTTATCTTTAGCTCTGCTCCTTTCTCGTGATCGATCTCTGTCACTGCGATCCTTCTTGCGTCGTTTCGAATCATCCTTGTTCTCCTCGAACTGAAATTAAGAAATGAGAAATGGGCACTAAACATTCATAAATATATCAAAAAGTGATTGCTTGTAATTCGTAAAAACCCGGGCTAATAAGCGTGAAGCGACACATCGTATGCTCATTGAAACCTCTGCAAATCAAACATGCAAACAAGGCAAGCCCCCTCCTCCCCCTTGATAGATGACTTTTCCGGCTCTGAAAATGAGAGCAAATAGCTCAGAAACATTGAGAAATGCCAGAAGAAAATCAAATCAAAAGCGCTCTCTCATGTGAAATCGTGCGCACGGTATGCAATGTACTACATAAATGTGTAGAAAAGAGCATAGAAATGAAGATCCTGGTTATCACAGTGGAGCTGAGTTGTGCTTTTGAAATGTTTTGGTTTACTAATTGATGTTTTTCTGTGAGGTTCAACCAATTTAATCAGTGATGAAATGTGTTATTTTGTTAGTTGCCTGAAAACTTAAACATACAAAGTTTTTGACATGTTTTATTTCGCAAGCGGTGAATACTCCTCTTCTGAATGAGGAGACCAGATTTTCGTCGAAACACTACCTACTGGGTGAAAATGCGTCAAAAAATGGGAACCTCCCACAGTTGCATCTCTTCTTCAATTACAAAAAATGCAACCATCAGTGTGTTTTGCAGAATAAAAGTTGCGTGTAAATTGTTTTGAGAAAAGCAAAGTTTAAGAAACTAACCTTGGTTCTTTTCCGGAACTGAGGGTACGCGATACAAATTGCTGAGATAACTTTGTGTGCACGATGAGAGTCAGCTATGGCTTCGAGAACACGATCCTGAATGTCAAATTTAGCATCGAATTCACCAAATTGCTTCCACACTAACTGTTTTCCGAAAGCCGAAAAGTCTGACTTGAAAAAAAAACTTCGGTTGTCGACACTGGTGTTGGTGACATACTTGAAAGGAACTAAAGCTGACTAAAAGTTGATGCACAAACCATTCTAATTTTATATAGTGAGCATCGATGCAAAACTATTGGTCTCTGATAAAATGAAGGGTTGATTGACACAATCAGGACAACGCGCGCTTTCGCGTTATTTGCCGCATGGGACGAGCAGGATTTTGTGAGTGCCGGTGTCTCACACTACATGCACAGATTTTGGGTTTTGGAATAGACGAAACATCTGGAGAAACAATCACCAGTGATCAATGCGTAGAGGATATACAGAGACATAAACCTACATTTCCGAGCAAAATGACCTGTACTGAATGTACGAGTAGAATGACAAAGAAAAGAGAAGATTAACAAATTTCGCTGCAATAAGCATCATAGCAATAAGCATTTGTGCCCTGGGGTTGTTCTACTGAAATCACGTACTTTGCTGTCCATACAAGTATGTGTTTACTTTTGCTACTCGTTTAATTCATATATTCATGTCAACGGACGGAAGCGAAGCGTGAACCGAGGCAAAAATTTAGCGAAATTTAGAAAATCCTTTCTTGAAACAAAGCATATCCAGTTTCACTTGGAACATATCTTCAATATTTATCCAGTGGCCCTGGTTATCCCGCTGATATCAAAAATATTCAAATAACTCATGGTAGTGAAAGGAGAACTTTCGAAATAAACTCATGGTATTATCGAATGGCATGTTATTACTAACTGGCAGGCCATACGGGCTGCCATGCCTTTCGAGCACTCGTCCCTGGTTCCCATACGGAGCTGCCGCCAGACGTATGTCGTACAAATGTGAATGCTGAACCCTTATTCTATGAAACTTTTTGTGCATACGCTCTCACTTTACAGATGGTGACCTAACATTTTGGAGCTGGCACAGCGGAAAGCGTGACTCGTGCGCGGGAAGAGAGGCCGGCGGAAAAAAATTAGTAAGTCAACATAACGAAATCTGACTGAAGATGCTAGGAAACTTCACATTTTGAAAACAGGTGGAGTTGTGGTTGGCAAAGACCTTTAGACGCGGAAAGATAACTTTGAGCAGGGCAAAAAAATCAAAAGAAGGAACAAGTCGACCAAATAAACTCGACGGTGTCGTGGAATTGGATTTTTCGAAGTTAAATATGGCGCTTTAGTAAGATTTGTGAAACTGAAAGGCATCATACAACGCGAAGATGAAGGCGATAGGCTACGTCCAGCACTAACCCGAATATGTTGAACATGCAGAGAAAAAAGAAGTTAAACAGCGTGAGTAACTGCTGAGTAACTGCTGAGTGAGTCGACACTAGAACTTGAACTAGAATGAAAGTTGATCCATCTACTGGTTAAAATGTTTCAGAGAAGGTGCGTGATGATAAGTGCATTACCGTTCTTGAAGCTCCAAGATAAGGTCAAAGGGCATCAATGGCTTAGCACAGAACGTCATATTATCGCTAACGTATGCAATACAACTCTTAATTTTGTGAACTATATCAATGATGCCCGAACTGCTGAGGTTCTCCCAGCCGAATGTTACTGATTGTCTGATATATACAATTCTACATTTTCAGTAGCAACGTCACGTTCTATCCTCTACTCAATTGATGGAAGGTGTACACCGCTTCAGTATATGCCTCTTTTGGATTATAGTGTTCCCACACCAACGAATTAATTTAGTGCATAAATTCTGCAAGTCCACAAATGTTGCGATTGCCGGTTTCCTTTCTTGCTGCGCTTTGGTCTGTTGTTATGTTGGTATCTACTTAGTTAGTTCATTGAAATGCTCTTGAATCGTTCCTTTTTTTTTTTCAGGAATCAAACCAAACCAATCACAAAAATTGCAAGTGCCCCATTTGAACAATTGAAACACTGGATATGAAACAAGTGGAATCATGAGCAGTCTCCATTAAACCATAACCATCAAGCAGAAGTGACGGCGGGATTGGAGAACACCTTGCAGTATGGATGGGGCACTTGTGATTTCCGTGACCCGTCGCGCAAATCGCGAAAATCGCGCAAATCGCGAAAATCGCCGCAAATCGGCGAAACCTGCGACGGATCGCGGACTCTGACCCAGCCCCAGGGTTCGACGGTTTCTTCACCTCTGTTTTTATGATCAGCCCACATCATACCTATGCAGCATTTTTGCGCAAAATAATCACACCGATTTCGGAATTTTCCGTGGGAAGTGCCGAATTTTGAGTGAAACACGATAATGCAGAACCTGAATTAGCTGCTGTTTGCTGTTGTTAAGGCAAGCAAGGAGCAAAGCCGTTGGTATAATTCAATTTACAGTTCTCTCTGATTATTCATCTCGAACGGACGATCTCATGCACCTGGGGATGAAATTAGTAATTTATTGAATAGCAGAATTCTTTCCAGGAAATTGTTTCCTAGGAAAGTGATTCGCCTTGCCCTTATTTCGGCATAACTCTGTTCATAGGCAGCCCTTCCGCAAACTCACAGCGAAAACCCACCGCGCTCATCAGCACTTCAATGCGGCATCGTTGCTGGCAGCATCCGGCTTCAATCGTGTTTAGCTATGCGCAGTTATATAGAAGAACTGGAGATAGTTAAGAAATTTGAGCAGCACAGACCACCTTACAATTCTGAGATGATGGAATGAAGTCTTGGTGAAGATGGCTAGGAAATTCAAAGGGTAAGGAGTTACATACATATTGTTGTTTTAGCAACAATATGCTTGCGCATGATAAAGGACTTCTACAAATGCTGGTTTTAGCCACGACAACTGAGCTCGAACGAAATAATTCTATTCGTTGCTCCTAATTTGCTTGAACGGCAACAATAACAGCTCATTTCAGTTGCGAGGAAATAATTCAAGTCGCAGTATATTGCAAAGTCTGCTCACCATTTCGCAAACGGACTCATAGAGTTAAAAAAAATTCTTGTATCGTACATGAATAAACAGGAATATAGTCATAAAAGACATTAAAAACCTTCTCACAGGAAAAGTAAAACCAGAAACAAAAATGCAAATCTATGTAAAAATGCAAAAGCTACCTTCATTTTATCGTAATCCATATCCTTTCATCTCAAGCGCATCGTCCACAGCAGTCCGTCACTTTTTGTTGCCTCTTCTTTTCGGCTGAGATTCGATCGCATCACTTTCTTCGTAACTGCACGCCGACCATATTTTTCTACCCAAATACCGGAAGGGAATATAACCCTGTAATAAGTTCGAGCGCCACTAATAGATGCGAATACGATCTCCTTACCTCGACATGGCAACCTTTTCTCACAGGCATCGACACTTGTCAATCAACAACATTCAGAACCTTCAAAACAAGACTGTGCGCCACTTTCTCGTTTTACTCTTTCGCGCAATTGAGTCGATTTTCAAGCACACAATAGAGAAACTGACTACCCGCACAGCCCTCAATGGCTACACGACGAAAAGTACCTACTACACTAAAATTTGCAGTCAAGGCACTATCCTTCACATGAGGCTGAATCATCTAGATGATGTCAGATAGTATTGACTTTACCATAGCGCGCTAAAGAACAATAAAGGCGCGTAAAAACACCACAAATCACCGGTGTAATTGCGTACGGCGTCTTCAATTACAGTACCTTTCGCCTAAATTTATTCAAGGAACGCACTCGAACCGTGTGTTGCTTTTTCAGTCATTTCGTGGTAACTCATTATGTGAGAGTGCACAGTATCCTGTCCTCCAACTATACAGATTTCGTAGCGACAACCCTGGAAATTTCCTTTGCCTTCCAAGCAGTCCGTCACACTTTCAGCGTAAAGTGTTAGACTTCCTTAAATTTTCAATAAGACTGTCACATTTTGGAAATTTCTCTGGTTAAACCAGTGATAGTTATCGCTGGCGTATGCCTCACACTTGGTGCGCGCCCTGGCAAAAAAACCTCCAATATGTGACATGGAAACTTCATAAACGCGCTACAATTCTAATCTGCTGGAGAAATCCGACTGTTTGTTCTTTTCTTAAAGTTTGGGATTTATATTGATTGCGGTTTAAAACACCACAGTAGGGGTGTCATAACAGGAACAATGGGACCGTTCAGAGTTATGAGGTTTCATTGGGTGTGGCTTACCCAAGGCATTTAAAACCATAAAATCCCTTTCTTTATCACTAACTTCTAGATGAAGTAACACTCATCTAGACTTTGTTGTTTAGACAACGAAATAAGCTCAGTCACTATAAAGCTTCTTTCGCATAAAGCTTCCTCCCTGCGAAAATTGAAATTTTCAATTTTTCGTTGGGCATGAAACGTATGGCGAAGTTATACGAACTTCATCCTCTCCATCCCTCTGCCCCACAAGCTCAGACGTTTTACGCGATTTGAAATGCGTGGTCGCCACAATGCCCGTACATCGTGATCATTGTGTTCAACACTTGGGGGAAGCTGAGACATGCAGGCCCCAGACGTGACTCGGCGATTGTGCCGAGTCTAACACCGCCAGCGACGATCGCGTCCGCTCCATCGCTTGTCCATCGCCGAGTGTGACGTTGGGTGTGGTTCACTAGGACAGAAAGCGACTTTTTCGCGTTTCGCAGCGCGAAACATTGTTCGTTGCGGGAATCTCGGGTCCACTGATTATTCGCTGCGGGAACCTCGGGTCCACTGATGATTCGCTGCGGGAACCTCGGGTCCACTGATGATCAGCGGTGGACCTGAGGTTCCCGCAGCGGAAAATGTTTCGCGCTGCGAAACGCGAAAAGTCGCTTTCTGTCCTAGTGAACCACACCCGTGTGACGGCGGTCTGACGGATCTGTTTTTGAGTGCTGTTTGGGCGGGAGTGCACGACTCGCCGCTAAACTTACACGGGAAAAAACGGCGGACGAGTTTTTGGACGAGTTTTTCGCGCGCGCCATATGAATTTGAGGCTCACTCCGTTCATTTCATTGTACGACCAGTATCTTACATCAACAATGGACACGAAAACTGATAGTAGAAGGTAGAAGAAGAAACCAGCCATAGAGAAACCAAAATTCATGCATTAACACAAGATAGAACGAGTTCTGTTATGGTTTGTGTTAAGAAGTCTGCGAGGACGACTGAATTTACCAACGTGCACATCTGTATTTTCCTTTGCTAATAGAACAATTTAACTGCAGTTCTGAATCCGCTTTCTGATACCCTTTGTGCGAAGGTTCGATGGATTTGCAGTGTGGAACGAGCACTGTAAATCGCATCGAACTCGCACAAAGGGTATCAGAAAAGGCGGCCTTCGAGCAACAGTTGGCAGTAAGCTAAACTCGAAAGGGAAGACTCCGATTTACTTGCGACTCATTTACGTGGCTTTGCTGAATTCAGGAGCTATTCGTGGGACTGTATATTAACGAGGTGCAGATCATTAGTCTTCTCGGTGCTTTGTGAGCTGGGAGGGGAGGGGAGGCAAGGAGAGGGCTAGTTTTCGCGCAGAAGGAGCTTGTGGAAAATAGTAAGGCTCGTTCAGGGAGGAGCTCCTTCTTCCCTAAGGCTCAGCCTCAGCGGAAGGAGGAACTACCTCGCAAGTCTAAGCCTACTGTGGGTAAGCAATGTCAGAAGTCGGCGTAACCCCCACCCCTACCCCCAATGCCACCCTGCCCTCACATATCACCGTCTTCTCCGTCGGTGGATGCTTACTGGTCACTCAATCGCAACACAGGCCACAGGTTACGTTCTACTGCTCTTGTGTTAAATGAGAAAAAACATCAACGTTCGAGTTTATACCTCTCATAACGTTAACTATCCTCATTAGTTAATAACTTCGGCCGAAAGGAGCCAACTAATACGCGCTTCGCCGCCCTTTTCAAGTTTGTTAACAAATTTAAAATGTGGCCCGCTCAGCCACGCAATTGCTGACAGGTTGAAATATTCAGTCCCTAGTTGACCCATCCTTTTCAGTCATTTCCATCCCTTTTCACACAATGATGCCTTTCTGTACCCATCCACCGACTTTGAAATGGGCAATGGTCTCTTTTCTGCCATGACTTCAGTAGAATTAGACTGAAAGGGATACTGAACACTAGCTCAACAATAAACTGACGGTGATGGTCCTCAATTCAAATTGCGCCGCCTCCGCGCGAAAGACTCCCGTTTCTCATCAACATGCTCCACGATAAAACTCTGACGGATCTGTTTTTCGGTGTAAGTTTAGCGGCGAGTGGAGTGCACGTAGGAGTAAAAGGACACTGCCTTTATCGTTGCCTTCCAGACACATTGTGCTACATATTAGGACCTTTTGAAGATAATAAATGGCACCTCTCTTGAGTTCCAGTAAAAGGTCGGAAAAGTTGTAAACTTACCATCGATCATTTCCAGATGCGAGACGGATGTTTTAGGACACCATGTTCATACACAGAAAGTTTGGACAGAAGTGCTCAGTTTTCACCAGTTGCTGAAAATAATGCCAAAAGGACGTCGGGGGCTGTGAACAGGTGAGTAATGGAAGTAAAAACATCGTTTCTGTGTTCCCAATTTCTTCTGATTTCCAGGTCAAATAGAGTCAAGGCAACACTTCTCCCATGGTGTGTCGCGTTAGCTGTTCTTCTTATTGAGGTCATTTAGCTTTTTCTTTGAAGTGTTCCTTAATTGCATTAGCACCTTCGCATCTCTTTTTTTTGAAGATCTTCACGATTGGCTCCTCAATCGGTCAATTCTTGGTCGGAGAATGGTTACCATGTGCTGTCGTTGTTACATGCGAATACATTCTTCTGCTCTATATCGTGACTGTTGCAGTTTGGATAATTTACGACATGTTTAGTGTCTCATCCGAGAAGGGATTCATGCATGGTTTGTTTTTCAATGCACAGTGAAGGAATGAGTTTTTTTGAGTCAAAACTTTCGTGGATGCTGAATGACTTTCAACTTGAGGAGTTGGAGTTTCGAATTCTCTTTTTCAGCCAGTTTTGGCATGATATTACCGTCGCCCTATCCTCATTCCAAAGTATCTAAACCTCACTATCCGCTGGATACTTCCAATCGTGCAGATTCCTCTTGGATTGATGACCACCACTTCGGTAAAGTCGCAGAGGAAAGCCCATCACTGTCTCGACCTGCGTACTCCTCCCCAAATCACAGGTAAACTCGTTTAACTGCAAGTTGTTTTGACGTTATGAGAGTTGGGACGGGGGGGGGAGGGTGGCAGGCTCGGCACAAAGATACAGGGCGTCGCGCTCATCTGAGTCTTCTCGATGGGTTGCGTGAACTTCCACACTTCATTTTTTCACGTTTGTCAAGTGGCTTTTCCTGCAATCTTCCTGATGGGGTTAACGGTTTACTCAAACTCGGTCCTTCGAATTGCCTCATTTAAGCGCCGTTCGTGGCGACCTCTCACTGAAAGGCGCAGTTGAGCAGAGCACCCTACACACTTCCCTCCCGCATTGGCGCCAGCGTCTTGCCGATGAACCCATCTTGGTGGCTTTAGTGAGTGGGCGCGGCGGCGGCCGGTGCGTTTTTCAAGCCTGATGGGACTAAAGCTAGGCCTAGAAAGGAGTAGTAGGCTGTGAACATTGTGAGTGTGATTTTGCAGAATCCAACTTTTTACACATTTAAGCCCCATTTGGGCTCAGGCTCGTCTGCCATTGCGCTTGACAGAACTAGGCGTCGCTGCTTGATTCCCCCACTCCTCACTTAGCACCGCCTCTTGACCCTGCAAATGATTTCGATTTCGTCGATTCAGTCGGAAAAAGTTATGAAGTGATGTTCATATTTCGGCGCTCATCAAATATTACAACATAAAAATCTTTTTGATTTTGTGGAGGCGTCCAATTTGACGTCATTTTATGTAAAATTGGTGATGGCACCTATACTGACTCTGACGTCAAAATAAGTGACATTCATGGTCATATCTCAAAGACCCCTATGTGAGTCTGTAAAGAATCAATCCCGATCAACAATCGTGGGCCGAAAGCGAAAACAAATTCTCATTACAACATCATGCGGCAAGGCGATCTAGGGTAGGTTGAGAAGTACGGTGTTTTTCTCAGACCACCTGCTTACTTGACGCCTTATCTTACTGCTGCTTCTTGAGCCACCCTCATTGTTTTGTACGGAAATTTTTGAGGGTAGAGTGGGGAATGGGGGCACTTAGCGACTATTGGAAGTCCTAGCTCACGTCTGGAAGTAGGGAACGACAACCTATTTGGGTGCTGGCATCAGGTACGCAGGTACGGTGCATACCTGCGTTTTAGTTTGGCTAATATTATTATAAAATGTTCACAAAGGAGAAGGGGTGCACACTTCGGCTAACATGGAACTTGATTAGTGCTCAAAATCTCTATAACTCGACAGTAGAGAGGTATACGAGGTTCCAAAATTCAGCTAAGCTCTACCATTGTTTTCTTTCATTTCCAGCATGTACAATAGTTCTCCACAGCAAATGGATTTGAGTGGGAGGAGCTTCATGGATTCATCAATGGTCGGGTTTTCTGGCAATATCGTCAGATCTCGTCACAGTCCCCATAGTAAAACTATTGACAGCATTCACACAAGAGAACAACTGGACTATCTTCTGTCGAAGGAGTATGTTATGTTCTACCTTATTTTCAGAAGTGAGGCAAATTGAGAAGTTCACGACAGAATTTTTTAAATTATTTAGCAGTTCCCTAAACATGGACACATCTACATCGCGAAATAGTTCATTTCAATACTTCAACGTCTTAGATATTGGTGCTCCTGATGAACGGAGAAACTACCAGGTTTCAGAACAGCTGGAACCCTCCGATTCAAAGGAGAATAGTGAGTTTTTGATATTGTTTGGAAAAGCTGGACACGTTACGTTGTGCAATTTTGTTTTTTTTTCATTATTTCGTCATAAAAGATGGAAGATGAAACATTCAACATTGGTCAATCCTTTCATGGAATGCGCCTCAATCCTACTTCCTTTTAGAATTGCAATGGCATTTCAACCAGTTTTTGTTTTTGAAAATCACTTGCGGATCGAGCCGATGATACGTGTTTTTTCATGCCCTTAACAAGCCTGGTACCAATAAGCGACCTCGTAGGGATTAAGGGTTGGCGTGGACAGCGTGCAATCCAGAATTCGCTTCTCGGACAGCGCGCGTGATAAGTGGCGCCTCAAATCATTACATCAGCTTCCCCTGTCTTCCATCACAGGCAGCGAAAACTCTTTTGTATCCTTCAATTGAGATGGTGCTGTTCTCTTATGGTGAGCGGTCCTTTTTGCCGAGAACCTAAGATTGACCTGTGGTTCCTTTTTACTAAAGCTCTTGTTGTTCTCGCGACCTTCGTGAACTTGAATTTCTTATTGCTCGTGAAATCTATCCGGCTCGGATAGTGATCATTGCAGTTGTTGTAAAAATGGGTCCAGGAAGTCGTATCATGTTGTCTCCCGCAAGTAGTGAGGGCGATGGTCAGGACGAAATGACGAGACTAAGGCATGCTCTCCAACATGCTAGGCATAGTCCGAGAAAGGTACAGCTTCCCTGTATTTTTTGTTTTGCTGTGTTTCTATGTATGGATTCCAATTTGTCTACTGTTTCATGTGATTCTTTTTGAGGCCGGTTCGATATTACGTCGCAGTGAATCCATTGAACGGCGGTGGCGCAGCATAAGCGTCTCGTCTCCTGAAAGACCCAGTCTCTCATCGGGATCGGGAACAATCCCAATTAATCCAGAAATTGATGCAAAAAGGTGAGTTTATGTTCTAGCTGTCTTGTTGAACTGGATGCCTGGAACCTTCCATCATTGGTCAAAGCTGGAAGGAAAATTCTGCAACACTTCTGCACATTTTCCATTTCGTTTCAATTTTTTGTTTACGCGGCTCAATTGGTTGCAGTTCAACATGAATCTCTAATCTACCACCTTCCCACAACACTCAGGTG